CAATATTCCTGTGGTTTAAATTCCTCAATTTCTATCTCTCTGTCGCATATAAGAGAAAGAGCAGCTGATTGTACTCGTCCAGCAGACTGACAACCAGGTAGCTTTCTCCATAAAAGAGGGGAAATGTTGAATCCAATCAAATAATCGAGTGCACGGCGAGCAAGATAAGCATGGACCAAGTTAACATCAATATCCCTTGGACTCTGCAAAGCACTTTTTATTGCAGATTCTGTTACTTCTTGAAAGACAACCCTGGCAATAGTCATATTATCACGTAATGCATTCTGTTGCTGCAACATCTCAATAATATGCCAAGCAATAGCCTCTCCTTCTCGATCAGGATCTGATGCAAGAATAAGATTATCTGCTCTGAAACAGAGTAAAACAAGACGAGTATAAGTGTAGAACCTCTTGCAATTAAGATAAAAGAATTGCTCAGATAAGAAACTCGCTACACCTGTCAAAAGAAATTGAAAAAGAAAAGCAATATCTCAAATACAACAACAAATGACTGAACCAGAAGAGAGAAAGTCTGTAGAAATTTTGGGTTTTGCAATAAGAGGAAAAACTTCCATAAGGTAAAAAGATACTCTGTGTAATTAGTTGGTCAAAGAAAAATACAAATAGTACTAACTCCTATAAGGCACAAATGTCAAAGAGAAAAACAACATACCCACTGATTGCCACCTTCATACTCTTCAGATGAGTCCAAGCAGAGGATGGAACCTCCCACACCATACTGAAGTCATCGTCAGGACGTACAGACCCTGACCTAGCAGCCAAGTCCCTTACATGGCCATAACTTGGTATAACTTCATACATGTCACCAAGGTAATGCTGAATAACCTTAGCCTTAGTGAGGACTCCACGACCAAAACAGATTTTCCAGTAGGAGGGTACAATGGCTTTAACTTAATTGACTTGATGCCATTAACAGTCGGTGATTTTGGTTTCTGAGGTGCCTTGCGGGCAGAAGGTTCCTCCTCCACCACCTTCACAGTTTCATGCAAAGCACCATTGATTTTTTCCTCTAAGTTCACTTGTTTCAGAGATTTTCCCTTCTTCCTAGGCTTTGAGGCTTTTTTCTTAGGCACAGCTTGAGGTGATTCAGAAAGGTCAACCTCTTCCTTAGGTATACTAACAGATGAACTATTCTGCGAAACTACAGTGTTAGTCAAAAAGATTGGCCTGGCTAACAATATTTTTCTCAGCCAAAAGAACAAAGAAATCATACCTCAGCAGTTGACAGACCATTTGGCCTTTTAGTTCTTCTAGCCCTTTTGAGGAACAGCATCAGAAGAAGACAGTGTATCAACAGATGGCTCATCTTTTTTCTTCTTGTTTCGTGATCTTTGCTTTGGTTTTGTTTCACTCTTTGGCTCTGCTTTACTGTCAACGGAACTTGGAGCAGAGAGAGGCTGTACAGACTCTGCTTTCTCAAGCCCATCTATTGCCAGCACTTCAGTTGAATTTACAGAGTTGACATTTTTACTGGCAGACACTCGACGATCAGGGAAATTCTTCCTAACCATCTGGCTAGGAAAAGTTTTCAGTGAATTACCTTCAGTACTCCCATGAGAGGCAAATGTTTTTACCCGCCTTCGTTGTTTATCGGAAACAATGGGTTTTGGTATACTCCTACCACTTTTTCCATCCTTTACAAACGTGGACTCACATGTACTTGTATCACCAAGACCTGATTTTGGCATTGCCTTTGTGGAGAGCATCTTCTTAGCAAAAGCAACATATGTAGGTCTTATGCTCTTACTTGAAATCCTAAATCTTGAAGTAGAAGGCAAAGGATGACTTGCAAAACCAAGTAATGACAGAGAACAAATTATACTTCCTTCTTTGATTCATCAACAAGTTCTCTGGTACTATTAGACCCCAAACACCTGATAGATCGTGATTGCTGAGCCATCATCTTACAGGCTCCTCTAACCTTTTTAAACTGTATCAATGATCCTTTCGTATGTACAAGACAACCACTCACAGATGTGCATGGGAAATAGGTGGCTGCATAACTCTGTAATGTGCTATATCGTGTCTGAAACAAATGATTCCACAGAAATACATCAACAAACATATATATGAAAGAGAAGGAAATGTTATAATAGCGTGACATATGCCAATTTATAGTAGCAGCACTATATGGTTATACATTCTAGTCCAACCGTCAGCCACATGTCCAACTACAGTAATTTATCTTGGTCAAATTTCACATTATAACCCAAATGAGAAGTGAGGAAGGGAGGAACAGAACTATTACAAGGTATAACTTCATAAAATTATATTACCTCCTTTTTTTTTTTTAGTTGACGCGTATTCCTTTTTGGGAATTTTTTTTAAGTTGACCCCACTACAAACTTCATTAAATAAGCTAAGCACATTAACATTCTCTCTCCGCTCCTTAAAGTGTGAGCCCTCAATAGAACGCGTCATCTAAAAAGAAACGGAGGAAGTACTAATTCTCAATATGATGGGTTTGGAAAATTTAATAAAATGAGTATTGAGTAAAGGGCACTAGGGCAGATACATAGTTTCTACATTTTCATTAATATGATTTATATGATTGCCTCCCCAAATGATAAAATTGTTCATAAGCACTTACCATGTCTTCCGGCATTATATTATGATTCCTCAAATATATATAATTAGGGAAAACTTACACCTAGAAATAAACATCCGAAGAGAAGGTCCAAGGACACAAAGAAATGTATGGACTCTATACAAGTTCCCGATATCTCAAGGATCAATTTCCATTTTTCCCCAAACTCCCCTAGTTGCACAATCAAATCAAAATCAAATAGCAGCTCGGACCAAGAGCCAGTGTCAAGAGGATGGAAATGACATTAATCCATCTATACTAAACCAAGAATAATTACAATATATACTATAATGGTAAAAAACAACAATTTGATATGTTCTTCACATCAATCATCTCACATATATGACAACAGTCCCTCTTCCAACATAAGGGTATCAAGCAAAACAAACAAACAAAAGATGTTTACAATCTCATTTCAATAACATTTGAACAGCAAATTAAATTAAAAACAATCCTCAACCTCAGTAATAAAATCCATATCATCCAAATTGAAGTAGAATTATTGAATTATCACTAAAAGATGTTCTACACAGAGCTAGAAACGGCAATGATATAAACTAAATCGATCCCATGTTAGAAATTTACATATCTTAAGTTAAACCCAACAATTCATTATATCAATTACAAATTTTATAAATCCCAATGCTCCTACCAATTAACCAATACCCTACAATCTAATGCCACTGAATTTAAAATAAACAAATTGAATGAATTTAACAACAATCACTTAAAACAAAAAGAACCCATATATTCTATAATTAATAAGTACAATTAAAAAGATGAAATAAGCAAGAAATGGGAGATTTACCTTAGTCAAGAAAGAGGGTCCAAAAATGGAGGAAGCAGGATTGGAAGAAGAAGCCATTAAACTCAGATGAAGTCGGTTTAACACATTACACTTAATTAATTGAGAATAAAGATTGGAACTTAATTAGAGAGTGAAGAGTATAGCATCGGAAAAGTAAGAATGTTACTTAAAAGGAAGACAGGGTGTTTGAGAGAGAAGGGAGAACCGCCTACTTGTTGCAGCGTTGGAGTGGAGAGAAAGAGAAGAAGAGAGATTAGGTGTTTTGAAGGGTTCAGGTTTTAGACTTTGGATTAAGGAAAATCTACATATTACAACTTACAAGTGTTTGCCAAAAAAAAAAAATAATAAATAAATAAAATAATAATAATAATATATATATATATATATATATACATATATATACTCCTCCGTTTCTTATTTCTTGCAACAAGGGGGGTTGCACATTTCCTAAGTCAAAGTTTTAAGGGGATATAAGCATGTGATTAAGTTTAAAAAAAAGGAGGGAAGTAAAAGGGAACCACCTTTTCTTTTTTTTTTAACTTTCACATGGGCTGATTTTGGGAGGGTGTACTTTTCCCTCTCAAATTTTCACCAAAATTTTAAAAATTCAGTTTTCCACCATCAAATATCTCCCTCCACATTACTTTTTTCCCAAGCAAGAGGGGATATAAATAGTTCTCAGCAAAAACAACAATACACATAAATTCATTACACCACCATTTTCATTTACCACCTAATGTGATGGGAGAATGGATTTCTCACTTGCGTTTCCCTATAAATATCCCACTTGAGAATTGGGAAAACTCACTTGAGTAAGAGCTCAATTAGGCATCTCCACTTGAGAGAAAACCTATAAGCTTATTAATTACTCGAGTAATGTTTTGGTTCGGCTTGGCTAACCTCCAAGCAAGAGATCCATCGCGATTGTGTTGTGGGTGGATATCTTCGGATGTCGTTGCGTTTGCGAGGCTTTAGCTTTCTCAAGTAAGAGCTCCATTTGGTCGAGTGAAGCTTGTTTGCATGTTGATAAACATGAGTTGTGAGTAGTCTTCTTGCTAGGGGTTGGGTGAAGCTCAACCTTTTGGGTTAATTATGCAAATGTGGGAGAAGTATTGATGTTTGTATTGCAATTAAATTGATTATATGAGATTGCTTGTTAGTTCTTCATGATAGGATTAGCTACCCTTGACTTAGGATCTTGATAGCATGATATGCTTAGTTGGACATGGGAATGTAAATTGAGTATGTCATTACTTATTGCAATTTGATTGTGTATCATCTATTGCTAGACTAATGAGGAATCTAATTTTAGTAGTGTGAGTTGTTCTCTAATTGCATGAGGTTGATTTTACATATTGTCCTAGCATCTCAGCATTAAAATCAGCAAAAGTTAGCACTAAACAAGTTCAAAAACTGCCATAAAATACCCCAGCCTACATCCTAACATCTAATTAGTGCTAAATTAGGGCAGCAGCTTCATTTTGAAATCTTCAAAAACCAGGTTCCGTTTGAGTTGTCCAAAAAGTTGCATCCTCACTTCATCACCATCGCCAGACCTGGTTCAGAACAAGGTAGTATATGTTAATGGATATGGATATGGAAGAACTTTTTTCAATAGAACAGTTGCTAGAAGAAGAACAAGAAGCTTTATCGAGTGACTCATCACTGTCCAGTACATATTCAGAGGATGAGTATGCTGCAGAATGGGCATACTCTCATATTTTACAGAATCAGCAGACAACCCAACAAGGAGAGAAGAGGAGAGACCTTACCATTGAACAGAAAAGGCAAATAGTGGATGTCATTCTGTTAAAAATGCAAGGAGGTGATCTGCCAAGGGGTTTTTTATCACAACAAGCAAGACAGCATGACATTCATAGATCAACAATGTCAAGATTGTATGTAGACATTAAGAAGCAAATGGCCCAGGGGAATATCATTGATGTCAGATCCAAAAAATTGGGAAGGACTGGTCCAAAACCCAAAGAGTACTGTGATGAATGGTTGCAATCTGTCCCATTATACAAAAGAACAACAGAGAGAAGCTATGCAGGTGCACTGAATGTTTCACATTCAACAATTCACAGATTAAGGAAGAAAGGAAGACTGAGGACACACACAAGCACAAACCATCCTGCATTGACATCCAATCATAAGGTGGCAAGGTTGAAGTGGGTATTAAGTCACATAAACCCAATTCCAACTCAACGGGACCCAAAGTTTGTTGACATGCAAGAAGTAATTCACATAGATGAAAAATGGTTCTACTTGTACCCTGAAACAGAAAATTCTATCTCCCTCCAAAAGAGGAAGATCCTTACAGGTGTCAACTGTCAAAGAGGTTTAATCAAGGCCATGTTCATGGAAATGATAGGAAAACCTATTTATGCAAGAGATGGGACTCTACTGCATGATGGAAAGTATGGAATATTTCCATTTGTCAAAAAACAGATGACAAAGAAAAAGAGCAAAAACAAAGAAGCTGGTACATTGGAAACTAAGGCTGTACAGAATGTCAACAAAGATGATATAAGAGAAATGCTAATGGAACACATCATCCCAGCAATACACCAACAATGGCCAGAGAGTGTCCCAAAAAATGTCAAAATACAATGGGACAATGCAAGGCCTCATCAAATTCCAAAAGATGAAGAATGCATTGCTACATGTCATGCTAATGGTTTGAATATAGAAATGGTGTATCAACCAGCTCAATCTCCTGACTTGAATGTCTTAACCTAGGGTTGTTCAAAGCCATTCAGTCCCTACAATATCAATCCTTCCCCACAACTTTGGATGACTTAATCAAAGAGGTGATCAATGCATACAATGCTTTTGAGGCTAAGGCCAACAAGTATATATGGCTTACATTACAGTCAGTCATGATAAAGGTCCTGGAAAAACAGGGAGGAAACAACTTCTCACCACCTCATATGAAGAAGAAGAAGATTGACAAGTTAGGTGTACTTCCTAAACATCTACATGTTCCTAGGCAGTTGATACATCAAGCTGTGAATTATCTAGACACCATGTTCATTCCAACAACAAATGCAGTAGATGACCAACAAATGGAAGTTGATGCTGACTGAAGACAGAGAAATGCAAAGACCCTTACAAGTATGTATGACTGCCACACATAACCTTCATAGTATTTTGTTGACCTAGCTTGACAAATTAGTGTTTGTTATTAAAATGTTACAATGTTTTGTAGGTAATGCTTAGGTTATGTATTTTGATCAACTAAATGCAACACATGTAGGCAGTCATGTAAAGTTAGGGCATTGTTATTTTGAAAACATGGGTGTAATTGGTAAGCTGTTGGTTATTATGATATGAATGCATCTTTTGAACAAAAAAATGATTGATTTACCATCAGCAAGGGTATGTATATATCAAGCAGTTGAGCTAGGGTTGTTACCTCAACACCAGGGCCATATGGCCATTGATGAAGCAATGCTACAACTAGCAACTATTATTCAAATGAGTCCCTTCATCACATGGCTCAATCTACTAAGGCTTAATCACACAAAACCTAGGATGGGACTAACCCAAACATACATAGGATGGGACTCTTCACAGCAAAACATCATAAGGCAACAGAATAGCATGGCAATTAAAATCAGTGGGTAGCCAAAACACCATCAATCATAAAGGGGGGTTGCTGAAACACAGAGAAACATAGATTGATATCCCATAAGGCAGTCATTGTGCATAAGAGTGGGACTCTTAATAGCATAAAGTCACAAAGAACACACTTTCACCAACAATATAACATAAGACTTCATCATTCATCAACATAACAGTCCCTTGGCCATTATCAAACCAACATTCAAGGCATCACAGAACAACCAAGACAGAGACTACTAACAAACCAAATACCATAACAGAGAATAAAAACATCATCAAAATGATAAACCAACCAACACAGAGATTACCACAAGCCATATTAAGACAACAATGATGCAGGACTCAAAAGGCAAGTAAAGCAGCGACAATAAAACAAATGGAGAACAAAATAAACATGAATTGAGGAATAAAGGTTATACGCTGCAGGGTTAATTGTCAGAGAAACCACTCAGGGTGCATATCCCTTAGAAAATCCATGTAATCCTCATCACAGAGAAGCTCCTAATCAACAGGCAGCCCAGATCTCACCCTTTTCATCCCTGAGAGGGACCCTTTCTTCTGCTGTTTGGCAGTGACGGACTCACCGCCTTCGATCACCGCCTTAGAACGGGACTCTTTCAGCACCCCTTTGGAAGACCCAGCAGCTTCCCCATTCACAGATCCCTCGCCTTCAGTCTCCCCTTCCAGATCTATCACCTCAATAGGGTTCTTTAGGGTTTTTCCGGCCAATTCAGACTGAACCTCATCTCTCTCATCATCATAAGGTACATCAAGTTTCGCACCACGGCGAACCCTACAGGAGAGCAGCCTCATCCTAGCGCGCCGCAAGGGTTTGATCTTCTCAGATCCCCTCTCACAGATGTATCGAGTCGCACTTGGAGGGAGGTCATCCTTGGGTGTTTCAGGGGGAAGATTCTCAAAGCAAAACAACGAAGCATCATTTTTTTTTTCAGAGGAACTCATTGTGACTAAGGAAAAACGATAGATCTAGAAGGGGAGTAAGGTGGAAAGTTAGGAAGAGAGAGAAAGCGGCGATTCACAGCAAATGAACTAGGGTTCCAAAAAAACAGGAGAGAGAAACTTTCGATTTTTAAAGGAGAGAGAGAGAGACGAGGAAGCCATGGAGTAAATGCAGTTTGGTGAAAAAACTAGAGATGAATTGAATGAAGTGGTTGGGAAGATGAACAATTTTGTTCAAGAATCAGTTGGATAAAAATAGAGGGGAGATAAAAAGGGTGATGATTTTTTTTGGTGGAATGATTATCAGTTGATGATAATTTAACAATGTCATTACAAATAGGTTATTAGGGTTTTATCAAATTAATGATACATAAGCAAGGGGTAATATGGTAAACCTTTAAAAATTTACTAAATAAGGAAAAAAATATGAACCATCCAAAAATGGCAAATGTTGCAAGGAATAAGAACGGAGGGAGTATATATATTACAAGCCTATCATCATTCATAATATTTGTAAATAAAGTTCGGATTTTTTAATAAATTGAAATTATTTTAACTAAATTAGAATTTAGCTTATTAAACTAAAATTATTTTTACTAAGTTTAAATTATTATTGGTTTAAACTTAGATTGAAATTATATTTTCGTTATCATCGCTTTTATAAAAATTGTTAAATAAAGTTCGTAACTTTTTAAATGAATTGAAATATTTTTACTATATTAAAATTTAGTTCAGTGATTGATCTTAAATTATTTTTACTAAATTTAAATTATTTTACTGGATCAAAATTTAAGTCAATGATCTTAAATTATTTTTACTGAATATTATTACTCGGAGGTGACGAGAACAAAGTCAACACAATAGGTAGAGGAAAATGATATCCTTCCTCCGTTTTTCTTTTATCGCACCATAAGGACTTTTACACTATTCATTTAATCTTCTTTGACTATCATTTGTGATTTATCCATTAGGAAAAACATAGTTATATAGGATCTAGTAAGATTCGTCTAGAAATTTACTTTTCAAATATCAAATTTTTTATAATTTTCACAAAAGTAAAATAAAGATATTAATAGCTAAATTAATGTATTGGTAAGTGTGAAATCTCTCATGGCGCAATAAAAAAAGAACGGAGGAAGTATAAGACCATTATAATAAGAAGACTAAAA